ATTTTCTGGTTAAGAAACTCACCCAGATGGACCACATTTGGCCCGCGGGCCTTAAGTTTGACTTATGCTAGCCTCTAAATAATTTGTGTATCAAAGCAAAGTATGAGCAAGAGATGGAATTAGGACCAATTAAATTCAAGCTTACATCAACAAACACAGAATATAAGGTCAATAGACAGAGGTGATTATTATTAAAGAAATGTTTTTCAATGATTTACTAAGTGCAATAGAACTTGAGCCTACAACTATTGTCCTTCACATCATCTTCATCCCCATCATCATCACCTTCATTTCCATCGTCCCCAGAACCCTCATCATCCTAACATGCACTTTAAACATAAATCAGCCACATAACAAACACCAGTGTGTTCAACCACTTGTTTATTGCAGTAATAATACTTTGAAGTCAGTGAACTGAATCATCTGAGTCCACTGCCTTTCCGTGAGTCTGCTAACTCGTCTTGTATACTTGCCAGCAACCACATGAAACATAGGGTCTAAGTTAATGGAAGCCAGCGTGGTTCCTCATTCAGTACGGACTACCAGGACTGGAATCATTAACCCCAGGGATTCAGGAACCGATCAGTTCTATTATGGAGCCAGAGATTAATAATAAAAATATTTTGGAAAAAATGTATTAATGAACTTTCTTTGTTTGCGGTGGTGATGGATGGGTTGACGGATGAGGTCAGGCAGGAGGCTGCACAGAACATGATGTTGTGACATGTGGGGAGAGTAGGGAGCAGGTGGAGGTTTGTTTTGGAGAGGAGAGGTTGAAGGTCACCAAGGGCAAGAGAGAATACATGTGTGTAAACGAGTGTGAGGCAAGTGGAAAGACAAAGCTGCAAGGAGTCGAGGTAGAAAAGGTGGATGAGTTCAAGTACCAAAGTCAACCATCCAAAGTTATGGACAGTACTGCTGGCGGTTTTGTATAGATCAGGGCTTTAAAACTCATTTTGGTTCCGGGGTGTATGCAACCTAAGTCCACCAGACCAGTACAATCATAACATAATTACCTATAAATAACAAAAAGTCAGTCTTTTTCCCCTTTTTTTCATGCAAAAATTTTCATTTTTAGTGAAATTTAATTTTTTGTGTATTAATTATTTTCAAAATTCATTAAGTGGGCCAGATTGAAACCCAAAGCGGGCTGATTTGGCCTGCGGGCCGTATGTTTGATACCCCTGGTGTAGATGGAGACGAGTGTCAGGGGCGATTTATGATAGAAGAATAGCAGCAAAGTATCTATTACCAAGGTTTATAAGGGTGCTAAAGGTATAAGCTAAAGCGCTAACCGCAAAGAGGCGGACTGTGAATCGCTGCCTCATGCAGTCCATAAATCCAGACATTGGCGAGGGGCTGATTATTTTGAAGATAGTTCGCGAAGAACAAGACGGTCATTGAAGCCGTGTGGTTGGATTTACTGTCTGTTGCACCGCTTTAACCGCGTACAGAAATCAGTCACTGATGTGTCAGAGGCAGTTGGGCTTCAGCACACTTGCCCTTGGGGTAATGTGAGTACGGGCCAGTGGGGGGCAGGAAAAGCATGCAGGCCCTAGTGTGAGTGCACCCAAAGACAGTAGTGAGACCTGCTATGAAGGATGGTTTAGAGAAAGGGGTCACCGACCTTTTTGAAACTGAGAAGGGGTCACCTACTTTAAGGGTAATACATTAGTATACAAAGAGCTTTTTGTTTGACACAGACTCACTGAACAATGTAATAATAAACAAGAAAATCAATGCATCTGCATCAAGGTCATATAATAGCACCAATTTGAATATCACTGAAAGTGTAACTGATTCAAAAAGCACAGTAACAGTACAATTTTGGACTCTCGTTGACAAGTTTTATTTTTAGAACATACCCCATGGGCACCTTAGGTTGTCCATGGGGGCTACCAGGTGACCCCGGGCACCACTTTGGTGACCCCTGGTTTGAGACAGTGGTTCTGTATAACTGACAAAAGACTGAGTTGGAGGAGGAAAAGATGAAGATGCTGAGATTTTCACTTGTATGTTAGATATAATACATAATGTATTTGCAATAATGTCAAGACGCCTTTGATATATGATCATATCAATCATGTCATATTAAAAATATTTGAGAAATAAGTATGCTTATGTCAGGTTGATACCATTTCCCTGGAATACTATTATATACACTTATTTCCTATTGAAAATATTAGGAAAATAATTTTCTGGAAGGAAAAAAAAAATCACATTAACACACTAAGTAGCATGTCACTGTGTGGCCGCACAGATGACAGATTTTAGTAGTTAATTAAGCTCGAGAAAGTGTGTCGACTTGTTTTAAAAGAAAATACATACAGAGGTTGTAAGGTCTTCGCTACGCAGAGCAGAAATCTGCGAGTGGTTGCTGGGTAATAAATATTCTCTGTGGTTTCTCGGTCACTTTTCATTTGTGGTCGAACGTTTGACAACAGGAAGAGATAAACAGTAAATGGGGCAGAAAGAAACAAAGCACAATGGTGCTACAAATAACATTATGTCAATAAGGGTATTATGTTATTTGGAAAATTTAAAGCAGGCTTAGAGGGGTTTTCTTTCTGCCAAAAGTTGTTCTCGGTGTTTCCACAACAGTTTGCAGCTTCACACATTGACCATAAACAGTCTAGGCACTGACTCTGGTCCTGTTCTGTTTCATAACTTTTACACGCATCTATATTTACCATCAAAGTAAATATGCTGTTAATATATATACTCTGCCGAACTAATTAGGTTATATTTATAGCTTTGGCTTTAAAATAAGCTCCAAGGGCAATGTAAATAGTGGGTGTTCAGATGTGAGTGGCTGAATGTGCACAGTGTTGAAACAAATGCCCGCTTTGTAAAGCGTGAAAAATTGACTTTTTCTTCAACGGTCTCCAGGAAGGAGGCCAGTGACCTTGACAATTTTCCCCGCAAGAAACAGAGAGGGCAACCATGAAGGGGAAGTTATGAAGGGAAAACACATAACAAGGAAACCCTTCAAGAACCTAGTCCCGCCCCCGCCCCCCCACTCTTATTTACTCTTATAAACACATGTACTAATGCATGCAGATGCTCTGGGGCGTGTGTGTGTGTGCGTGTGTGTGTGCGCTACACTCAAACACATGTAGGTACACCTATATCAACATCACGTATTCCCCCTTTAATAGACAAAAATAATATTCTTAACTATTTGGTCTAGGAGTACACAAACACATGCACACGTATACTTTCACGGAGAGGGAGCGAGTGAGAGAGGAATGAGTAAAAAGTATAATTATATTATATAATGATTTTTTTTTAGCTTGGAAAAAATGCTTTTCTTTTTTTTTTCTTGCTGGAAAGAGCCCCACTACACTGATGTTTACTGTAGCCATATTTAATTTAGAATGGACAGAACTCTTTGGCAGTCACCGCTGCAGTGTGACTGACCTTCACCATGTCCAGAAAACACACGTTTGGACAGCATTTTTTTCAACATTGGGGTCGCAACCCTATGTGGCGTCGCCTGGAGTTTAAATGGGGTCGTCTGAAATGTCTAGTAAATTATTTTTTAAAAATGACAGCTAATTTTTTTTTTTTTAATTTAGGATTAAAAACACCAGATACTATCTAAATCAACGGTATTCTCTCACTTAAATATATACTATATACTAGTACTATGACATCACTAAAATGTTCAAATTTGCTAAGAGCTGTGTCCAGGAAATACAACTGCTAATAATAATAATGATATTCCATAGATCTCATTCCTACCAGATCTGTGACGCTGGTCTGTTTGTCTGGTGTGTGTTCATAGTCCATCTCGCTAAGACACACTGGCTCCCTCAAGGACCTTCTCCCCAGCTGGTCACCGTCCTCAGATCTCTCACCTGGGATCAGGAAGTAAATTATGTAATTTGCATTATCATACATAAAACAATGTCTTTTTTTTAAGCAAACCATATAAAGAAATGTGTGCCCCACTAGGTGGCAGCTCAGCGGCTCCGCGTGTGATGCTGTGGTGGATTCTTGTGGAGGCAGGCAAGGGCCTAAAATCAGTGTCGTGTCCATCGTCTTGAACTGAAAAACTTGTCACCTCTGAGCTGCTGTCAGACTGAAGGAAAGATTCTTCCAGTTTCTAGAATAACAAAATTTACCACAACACATCACGTACATCAGAAGGAAAAAAATAATTAATGCAGAATATTTGCTTGGGTATGAAAACAACTTACACTAGAACAAAACCTAAATGCTTCATTTACCCACATGTATTTAAGTAATTACAAACCATACCGAACACAGACAAGGTACTAATACTTATTGGATATAAAATATATATAACCAGACAGTGTGTATATATATATACATATATAAAGTATTTAAATAATTTATTTTAGCTAGTTCTACTATTACTACTACTAGGTCACGTATTTTTGAACAGGAATTATTGAGGACAACAATTAGCAAACGTCATTATTAGCCGTCTTCCACTATTGTGCCACAAAACCAAAAACTACAATTATCTAGTCTTTAAACCTGCTGATAAACTGGTCCATATTTGATTACATAAACTGTAGATGGTACCACTGTAATTTTTACCTTCAAAAATTGTTGTACGTTAGAAACACTTCACTGAATAAAAATGCAGAGGCCTAGCTGGATTTTTAGGGTAATATAGAAATACAAAAACCGGAAGTAGACAGATTTAGTAACAGCCATTTAAAGAAAAGTAATTAAAGCAGCGTTTTCTCTTGGACTTAATGCGTGTTATGCCGTTTAGACGTGAATTAATTTGTTTTTTTTTTCCACGTACCTGAATCACAGCCTCCAGTCGTGGTGAATCAGCACTTGGTTCCCACCTGAAACTCATTTTACACGTTCTCTCTAATCAAAATCCTGCTAATGAGCTAAATGCTAGTTGCTAGGTCAAACTGTTGCTCAGGGCTTATATTGTACGGCTGTTAAAACAATATTAAAATAGATGTTAAAATAGATGTTAAAAGATACTGCCGCTGCACCTGCACAGAGAGCTAAAAAAAAAAAGTTCACCTCTGCCGGAACCTTTTAAAGCACGAAAGTTTAGGAGCGACTGCTGCAATCTCAATCCATTCCCATGGAGACGTCCACTTACGGCCCGTTACCATGGACACCGAATGTTGCTTGGCCGTTCCCTTGGCAACACAGACGCTAGCCAGCCAAAGACCCTGGATCCCAATGTTAATAATTACCCATCGATGACAGTAGAATAAAGAAAATAATGTAGAACCACTTACCTTAACATTTTTTTGTTTTACGTTACAATAATGATTGCAACAGTATAAATGCCCATCGTAGGGTTGGAACAAACAATTATTCTTTATTCTTTATATTATTCTTTATTTCAACCAAAATGTTGTTGCCAACTACTTTTTACACAAAATTGAACAAATGACTTTATTTATTACAAACCTTTCATACAGAAACAAAAAGTACAGTCCTTATATTATGTCATTCTGTTATATACTATTATATAGGATAAGTAAATATACAGACTGTAAAGTCCAATGGGACAGACAGTAAATTTGCACTATAAAGTTAAATTATCTAGATGATGTTTAACAGTGTACTGTACTCTGGTTTCAACTGATCCAAACTACAGAACCTATTGAACCATGGCACAAACCAAATACCGTAGTCAGAATCTGAACCCTTGAAGTGAAGGTGAAGTCAGAGTTTAAAATAATACAAGTAACTATGGTCTTGAAAAAGAGTTGTGGAGGCAATGAATGAATAGTTTGTTAATGAGCTAGTAGACAACTTAATCTGGCCAGGAGTTAATAAAGGCAACCAGTCCAGAGACCTGCAGAAATGAACTGTGATGTTACAAACCATGAAACGTTCTTCTTCTGCTGAGAAGACAACCTGTAAATGAACTGGATGCTAAGCTAACGATGCCCATCCCCATTGTGGTAAAGAATATATATCTATATATATATACTGATACTAATTGATGCATCCATCCATCAATCCATCCATCCATTTTCATCTGCTTATCTGTTACTGGGTCGCGGGGCCAGCAGTCGCCACCCAAATCACACTGCCCCGTACCAACCGCCCTAACCGGGATTCGAATTTGTCCAGGAGGTGAACCCTGGAGTTCCACACCAATGACAGAGACATTGTCTCTAGGCCAAAGTGCCACCTAATTGATGCAAACAAAGCCATTTAACTGGTTAAAGAACAGTTTATTTTAAGCCATCAGAAAATGATTTTCAATTAAAAGATTCTTTAACGTCTCTCACTGTAAGTGTAATTAAAAAAGCAGCAAAGTAGGTCTTAAAACCTGTCTACAATCCCTGAGGATCATATAACAATCTACTCTACAGTACAATGGCATTACATTAATATCGTAAACTAAATATAAAAGCAACTACACAATTCATTTTCCGTCAGGACAAAGGTTCAATCTGTTGAATCTATGGGAAAAAGTTCAGGCCACTGAGACGGGTCCAGGAAGATGGTGCTCACCCCGCTGTAGAACCAAAGCCTGGGCAGGACACACTCGACGTCCCAGTTGTTGGCCGCTCGGTTGTAAACCTCCACCTCCACACCGTAGTCACCCTCCATGCCCTTCCAATGACCTCCAGTGACATATAGCCTTCCTTCCAGTGTTACCAGGCCCCCGTTTTCATGCAGCATGTGCAGGAGCTGGACCTGGCAAAGAGATTTTTTTTTAATGTGTGCTAAAATGCTCAAATCAGGATTTTTCTCACATACTGTACATAAGTTCATATGTCACTCACCTATGCTAGCATAGTGGAAACATCATAATCTAGATCAGGAGTGTCAAACTCATTTCCACCAGGGGGCAACATAAGCAATACAGTTCCCCTTGAATATTACACAGGTTTGAATATTTGTTTCATGTTACTATTTTAAAGATTAGATAAGTGTATAAAAAATCTGACCACATGCCGAGGGTCTCGGCTTTAACTGCTAAAGACTGAACTTCAGCATTGACATATGACATTCACATAAGTCGTTTTTAAACTGACCTTCTGCCATATGTTTGCCTCGGGGTCGTAGCAGTAGACTTTCTTCGTGTTGTCGGCCACCAGATATATGATGCCATCCACACAGACCGAACGCGGAGAGGACAGGTATTTGGGAATGAACGGCGCACATATGCTGATCCAGTTATCTAAAGGAAAAACATTTGGAGCAACATGAGGAGCGAAACACATCAGTGAAACCCCAACTAAAGGATACGCAACGGACAACAAATATGTACGCGGGAGATAATCTTTAAATGCATCATGTCATGTCTCACTAATAGAACACAGAGGACCCACACAGCAAGGTCAGTGGAAAGTCCTTGATGCAAAGCAGAAGGATACATAGAGTATATGTATAGACAACATATGTGGGGAAAAAAGATGGATCCAATGTTTTTTTTCCAATGTAGCATAAAGTGATCCTAAAAGCTTGAAGAAAAACTCCTGCATCCCTGGCATCATATAATATAGACATATATATATAATATATATATATTACATTTTGCTCTCAATTTTGTCCTCTCCTTCAATAAGAAAGTATGTAAAAAATATACTAAACCTCAGAAAACCTCCTCAAATATCAGTGCTGAAACATGTTTATTATTTTATTTTCCTCTTTTGTTTGACATATAACAACAACAACAACAACAACAATAATAACAATAATAATAATATATAAATATTAGATCCCCCCCCCCAGGCCTTCAGACTCTTTTGAGATTCTTACCTATAACTGGGTTGTAACACTGCATGGCCAACGCGTTGTACTTCACAGCACAAGAGCCAATCACGTAAAGCTTCCCCTGACAGGCTGAAGCGGTGAAGTTGGTCACGTACTTCAACGCAGGACACGTCAGCGCCCACGTGTCGCTGTAGGGGTCGTAGTGTTCCACCTCCACCTGGTCTGATGTTGTACCTAAGACAAACAAACAAACGAAAATGTACAAAGGAATACATTTTGATGTGTTTTCTGATTCAGCAGAGTTAAAAAATCTGTCGGAAGGGTTTTTGCTCGTACCTCCAATGACAGTAAAAAATCTGTCGGGAGGGTTTTTGCTCGTACCTCCAATGACATAAATCTCTCCATTAAGGACAGCTGACGTGTGGTTGGTCCGAGGCCGGATCATGGGCGCAACTGTAACCCACTTCCCCTCTCTTGTGATGTACTTCCAGGTCTCTGTGGTGGACCAAGTGTTGGTATTTGAACCCCGTGAGCCGCCTGTGAATAAGTCCAAATCAGTTCATCAAACGTTTTTATTCCTTCAGGACTTTACCAAACTGTGTTCTTAAAAAATAACTGATGTATGTGTGAAGATGCTGCATTCAAGTTCAACTGACATGTCGTCGTTGCAGCAAAGGACACCTGAAGACAGCTGATGTTTGACGACCATAGTATTTTTGACTGACCTCCACTCAGTGTTTCTCTTGACAATGCGGGTGCTTATTCTGGGAGTTGTTGACAAGCTGAAGACTGGAGTTTAGAAATGAAAACACCAGTCTAGTTTTTCACTGGAAGTTGATGATAACCGCTAGCTGTTGTGGAGACTTCATACATTCAGTTTATCCTGCAGTTTACAGCACGGGATAATTAACAATAATGCCTGATGGTTGAAATTGGTAAAGTATTGTTTTTGGCAGCTAGGACTATGAAAAAAGAAATCCGTCAGCAGGTCTCAGCGAGTCTCTGCTTTACGCATTTAACCTCATTAATCGACATTTTAGTTGGAAACCAAATGATTAGGGTCATTTGTCATTTACAGCCTATGGCCAGTGACTATCATTAAAGTTCAGATGAGTAAGGGCTTTGGAAAAACATTTCATTCAAAATTCAGCATTATTGCATCAGTTTGGCAGTCCCCCTGGTTGTGAGTGAAATGGAGGAACAAAAAAATCTTTTCTCTGGATTTTTACACATTTTTAATCTTTTCACCACTATAACTTTTCTCAGGTTTAAACACATTTTTAATCTTTTCACCACTATATGAGTTGGTGTATTCTTTTTTTTTAATTTGTTTGATTTCTTTTTTACTTATTAATTTTTTGCTGTGCCTCTGTGCAGTATGCATTATTGTCCATTATGTTCCAGGACAGGCATGGGCAAACTATGGCCCGGGGGCCGGATGCAGCCCATTCACCTGTTTAATCCGGGCCGCCAAACTTTTCCAAATTATATAATTTATTTATATTATCATTATCATCGGGGGCAGCGGTGGATTTGTGGTTAAGGAAGCGGACTTGGGTCACATTTGGTTGTTTGCTGTGTCACAATGACATAAAATAATTCACTTTCTTTCCTTATACTTTTCCCTGCAATACCCACGTTTCCCCAATAGGTGGCGTAGAAAATTATAGCATTTTTGAATTTCAACTATGTCATTTATCTTAGTTCACATGATAATAAACCTTAATAAACACATTAAGGTTTATTATTATATTTAGAACGTAACAGTTTTTATGCCTATGTTTTCCCTAGTCCCTAGTGACTTTCGAAAAATATTTTTGTAATTGCTGTTTTGAAGAAAAAACACATGTATAATCATCCGTAGGGTTGCTGACCCACCTGTGACATAAACGTCGTTGTTCAAAGAAACCATGGAGTATCCCCACTTCCTTGCATTCGGGAAATTAGGGAGTTCATGCCACTGTTCTGCAGAGAGAGGAAAATAAATGAAATTTAGTTTTGTCAAGTTTTTTTTTTTTTTTTTACAAAGGTACATCAAGAGAACTTAGAAACTAGAGACTATCAAAGATGCCTTGATTTTCCATGGTGTGTTAACATTAATGCAGTGTTTTCAACATTAGGTTCGTGACCCCACGTGGGGACGCCTGGATTTCAAATGGGGTTGTCTAAAATGTCGAAGAATTAATTAAAAAAAAGAGTGATAAAAATGTTTTTAACTAATTCTTTAAAAAATAAAAAAACACCACAAAATCAACAACAAATTCACAAAAAACAAATCAACAACTGTATTCTTTCACTTTCATGAATATAGATTGAGTTCGAATTAAAATGCAGCATATTAAAACATCTGGAAAATATGAAAAAATGTCCTTTTGAGCACTAATCTATGAACTGTATCTTGTTTAACCAACAAGATCAAAAATTAATTCTAGAAAATCGAATTAAAATGCAGCATATTAAAACATCTGGAAAATATGAAAAAATGTCCTTTTGAGCACTAATCTATGTTTGTAACACAGTTTAACCAACAAGACCAAAAATTAATTCTAGAAAAAAAATATATATATCACTGTGGGTCACCAGAAATTTGTATTTTCCTAGTATCGTACGGAATTTGGCCTTGCTGTTTTCAGCTCTGGACAATTTAGTCCTTTTATCCATGTTATACCAAAATATTATGGACTCTTTAATATTGAAAAAAAATTTTATTTTTTTACTTGTCTTGGGGTTGTAGAAGGCACAGTTTTTTGGCTGCAGTCTTTGTAGTCTCAATTCTCTATCCTCCTCATCATCTGAATCATCTTCGTCCTCGTCATCATCGTCAAGCGAGCGTCCCCCCATTACAAAGAGCACCGGTTGCAGATTTGGTTGTGGACTCTGAGAAGTAGATCTGTCCAAATGTTCTGAGGACAACTGTGTTTTCTAGAAAGTCAAAAAAAAAAGTTATGTTTTTTTTTCCCCCCATCGTTTTCACGCTGAGCTGACGAGGAAATATCTCACTAACCTCTCTGTGAATTTTCTCCACGGCCTCTTTGCAACTGGGCGAGGCCTGGATGAGACTGTCCTTCAGCAGCGTCTCGGTGAGGTAGTCCAGGCTGAGCAGAGAGAGCCGCGACAGGCCGAGGAGTTCTGGGAGGTGGCAAAGCCGAGCCTCTTTGAGGTGACCCACCCATTTCAGGATGGCTTCCACGCGCGTGCTCTCCGAGTGGATTTGTAGTCCTTCGTCGCACAGGCAGGACATCAATCTTCCTTTCTCCAACGTCAAAAACTCCTCACCTTGTTGCACGGCCTCGAAGTTCTCCAAGACGAAAGCCCAGGCTTTGGCCACCACCTCGGGGCAGCCGTGGATGTCCCCGAACTCCAGGATCCCCAGGCAGTTTGTTGCGTCGATCTGGTGTTGGAGATATCGGCTGCACACTGACCTCACGGTCTGGAACTGCAGCTGGCTCGCAGTGCAGATCAACCCTTCCACATTGCTCTGGTTAATAGTTAGTTTACCCGTGTAGGCAAAGTCCAGCAAGTGGCTCAGGATGTCAGGATCGACCCCCTGGAGCTCAACGCGCGCTGCGATGCTCTCGACAAAGTCACCGGAGAACATGCAGTGGAAGTATCTGCTGCACAGAGCCAGAACGCCACGGTGACAGGGGAAGTCCCTGCCGCCTGCGTTCAGCGTCACGTCCACCAGTTTGGGTTGAGAGCAGAGGGAACGCAGACCCTCCAGGATACTTTGAGAATGAGAAGACAGGCAGAAATCCAGGTCATCAACATTACGCACCATGGTCGTTCGGACCGAATCAGATATTTATGGTGGTGAAGAAAAATGTCAGCTCCAGATTACCTGCAAAAAACAAACAAAAAAAAATTACAAAAAAAAATCTAAGACCTCATTGACATCTCGGTTCCCAAACCTTTTCTGCAGCGCCCTCTGTTGCACACTGGACTATTCTGGAGCCCCTCCCCACACCAACACACTCACAGCTATTGTTTCAAAACTCCTCTGGACTTTAACTACAATTCTCTAATTCCTAAAAACAGAGATTCTCAGTAGAAAAAAAAAATAATAATTCTCTAATTCTTAAAAACAGAGATTCTAAGCAGGAAAAAAAAATTATTTGACCTGTGCTGTGCTCCCCGCCCCACACTTTGGCTGTTCTATACAAAAAGCTTGAAACTCAGGAAAAGAACCACTGTATTATACAAAAAGCTTGAAACTCAGGAAAACAAGTACCAAAATAGATGCGTACATCTTCTGTTGACGATTCACCTGAAACAAAAACTGCAAGAAACTCTGAGAGTTCAACGAAAATTCAAAACATTTGTAAAACAAAATGATCTGTTGTTTCCCCCAGTAAGAAAACAACCTCAAACTGCCTCTGGCTCAGGATTAGCGCAATATGTAGTAATCATTAGGGCTCTATTACATTTCCTGTCATCAACCAGTGCGAATTTAAGTAAAAAATATGACTCACCACAGAGCAAGAGAATGGAAATAATGGCTCATTCTTCCTGTAAGAAGCCGTTTGTGGCCGAGCAGCTGGTCAGAACAACATGGAGTAGGCAGCGTGGTGGAGGCCTCCGGCCAAGTCAAAAGGAGGGCACGTCCGTCTCTCCCTGGGTTATTTTTAGGACCGACACTGACGCTGTGCTCATGTCGAGTTACAAACAACATGCATGGGACCTGCAGCTGCTGTTACAGCCACACACTCTGTTTTTCCAAGTCATCACTGGGAGCATCATGAAGAGGTTACGACAGATAAATGAGACATGAACTATCTTTGGTGTTGGTCAACGGGTCAGCACACAGCTGCAGATAACTGGCGTTTGAACGGTAACAACAAGTGGTTTTGATTAAAATTTAGGGGTTTTTATTTTGTACTATTGTAAACTACGATTTTTTTTTTGATAAAATCTAATTTCTAAATATTTATGAAAAATAACTTTGTCTAAAGCTGGAGTTAATTCGAGTTTAATGTTTAAGGATATAAAATAAAGTATAAAATATAGCTAAACAATACATTCAAATTGGACAATATCAGATCAGTCAAATATATATATATATATATATGGTACTGTAAAAAAGAATTACCAATACCAAGGGCTACAAATGACAATGAAAATCAAAATTCACAACATACTTAGGTTTGATGGGCAGCTTATATTAAAAAACCTATAAAAAAAAAACAAAAAACTTAAAAAGTAACACGAGACACTACTCAAAATCAAAAATTTCCGCTTCCCTCTCCTTCCAAAAGGCGAAACTGCGGTCGATGTATTGACAAATCTCTTCATTGCTGAAACTGGAAATGTCAACTCCCTGACAGAGGGTGCCCTCGTCAGGAGTAGGCGTCTGCACGATGACTTTAGGAACCTGTCTGACGTCATGGTGGCTCTGTTTCACCTCCTCTGCGGTGCTGCCCGACTGGCTGACCGGGCTGCTGAAGAACTTGGATTTGATGTCCTCAAAGCCGTCTTTCCACTCCCGATTCCCGGCCTCGATGTCCAGTATGACGGCCTTGTGAAAATCCCTTACTCTCTCCCAGGGGAAACTTCCGACGTGGTCAAAAACCTCGAAACAAAGGAGATGCCTCATTTTGCGTTCATCGACGGGCAGGTCCAACTCCAGGATGTGGAAGTAGCCCAGCATGAAGAGATCCAAGGTCAGGTTGTCGTGCTCAACCGACATCCCGTCCACACGGGGAAGGAACTGCTCCGGGGAGTAGAGCGCCTGCTGCTTGTGGAGTCTGAAACAAACGCTGCATCAGATTAGGGTGCACTTGATTTTGTAAATAACAGTTCACACGTGCAAGTGGCGTTTTGCAACAAACAGCTGTCGAAACGAACGCGTCGAAAATCAATGATAATTGATTTAGAAAATTGAAATATCCTATAATAATTATAACTGGAATCCTGACACATTTCAACACCCCAGCTGTCTCCTAATAATGGCTGGGTATTTGAGGCAGCTGTTTTGCCCAGAGGCACATCAAGTAAATCACGAGTAGCTATTTTACTGCTATGTGTTCTGAATTTGCTTCAAAAAGTCTAGTTCCCTCATTACGACAAGGAAGGCGGCTTTGTTTACATTCTTGGTGGTCGGCCATATTTCTTTTTGCCCTTCATTATGGCTCATAGGCATAAGTTTGAGTCTTCTAATCCCATTACTTGTTAGACCAGGGGTGTCAAACATATGGCCCGAGGGCCAAAACCGGCCCACAAGGCAGTTAAATCCGGCCCGCTTGATGAATTTTGAAAATAAAACAAATACTCAAACACTTCATGCTCAGGATATTTTTTGTAAAATTATATTTCATTAAATATGAATAAATAATAATAAATAACTAATATACTTGTTAGCATAAAAAACAAAGGGGAAAAACATGGACTTATTGTTATTTATAGTATTATTAGAAGCAGTATTATAATTATGGTATGATTATACTGGTCCGGCCTACTTGACATCTAATTAGATTGTATGCGACCTGTGACTCAAAATTAATTTGACACCTTTGTTAGACCAAATTTGTCTAGGACAACAAAGAATTTATACGTCAAACTTTTTTCATCCTTTGGCTGGGTTTTACGGCTTATACTCAGGTGAAAATTTACGTTATATTTGTTATTTTCACACTGACAGCTGCTAGAGGGCACTCTATACCAGTATCTGTCAATATTGTATCACTGAAAATGTACATGTTTGTTCTATACCAGTATCTGTCAATACTGTATCACTGAAAATGTACATGTTTGTTATTTTACATTTACATTCATTTACGCGTTTAGCAGACGCTTTTATACAAAGCGACTTACGGGAGGAGGATTAACAATCAAGTATGTGGTCCGAAATCAAACCCAGGACTCTCTGCTCTCTGCTTCCGAGGCAGGCGTGCCAACCGCTACACTGCGGAACCGACATAGAACAGATTTGTGTATAGGAACATATATAAGGAGAGGCAGTCTTACCGGCGTATCTGTCTGGATGGGACGCTGGAAATCATGTTCCTCCAGTTCCCCAGCATCTTGTTGACAGCACTCCTCTGTTTAAAGAAGTGTCCCAGTGAACTGTTCATCATCTTGGACTGGGCGCTCTCGATGGTACCCCTGCAGTATGACCCTGGTTTGTCACCCGTCTCGAGATTGCCAGTGCTGAGCTTTCTCTGTGTCACAGCATAGGCGGACTTCTTCCAGTGTCCCAGGAAGAGGACAACTATACGTTCTTTTCTCAAGCTGGTGGTTTCCAAAACATCCGGGACATTTTCATCATAGTCGATTCCAGAGTCACTGTTCTGGTCCGTTTCCTCGTTAGGACTTAAGACTTTGTCTGGCTCTGTTGCTATGAGCTGTGAGGAAGCGTTTAACAAAATGTCCTCCTCTGTCTTGACCTCCAAGGGTAACTCCTGAGTCTCAAAGTTGGACTTGAGATTCCTCACCGATACCCCAAACTGATGCATTTCGTCTTCTATCATCTCCCTGCGTCCTCTGTTGTTGTTCTGTCTGTCCGCGGTCTGGGAAAATACTGTGTTCAGGTCATTGTTGGGCATTTTACTGTAGGGCTGGTCATTTATGTTGGTCAAGAGCAGGGACATACTCTGTACGATGCCGGAGATGCGTCCGCACCACAGAGGCAGAGGAACGTGACTGCTGAAATTTCTGAACTGAGTGTTGACGGTGATGTTGACGATCGGTGCCGGCAGGATGTGCCGCAGCTCCTCGGCTAGACGAGCGAGCTCCAGCTCATAACCCGCACTTTCCCTCTGCATGGCGACGCTGGCGATCTGCTGCTCCAAGTAGATGAGGTCAGCTTCAGTCAGCAGCTCGCCAAAGGGACCCAGTATGGCATTGTGAGCTTGGGAATATCTCCAACATACTTTGGCATATCTGTTCCCATTTTCCTAGACGGAGTAGATAAAAGTGCAACGTATCACATTCAAACCCTTCTTAAACATTTTTTTTAAATCTTCTTTGGCACTACTAAAAAAAAGAGTAATGGTACAGTGAAACCGATGAAAGAAATTCTTTGCAACTAAGCATTCATTTTTAAAGTTGATTACAATTTTTTCAAGATGGAAAAAAAATCTCATCCTCGTCGACATGATGTTGGTTAACGGTTGCAAAGTTCATTTTAGCATCAAGAAAAACCACGATCTTAGAGAGAGAGGGTTTTAATCTCTGAGTTACTTTGACAGGTGACCTCTCACCTATTGGCTGTTCCCCAGTGATTCGATGTATACACGTCACTCTTCTGGAATGACGTGTATACAGAGAGGCAGTTATTGCAACACTGGCAGTCTAGATCGAGTTGGAAAATAACTTCAAAGAGTTTCACGGAGCGCGCATCTGTCCATGCTCATCTGGTGAGAACGGTTCAGGAGATATGGCCTCCATTAAAACATGTCGGCTTTCAAGAAACAGGGAGATAAGACAACGAGGCCATCCATCACTACATTTTCTGGTAAATCCAACTAGGGCAGGGGCGTCAAAGTCATTTTCATCGGGGGGCCACATCAGCAATACAGTTTCCTTTGAAGGGTCGGTTGTAAATGGAAGACTGTATAGATCAGGGGTGCCCAACCCCCGGATCGCGGACCACTACTAGTCCATAGGTCATTTGGTAGGGTTTAGGAACTTGTAATCAGACATGCTCGACAATAGTCTAATCTAACTAATTATTATTAGTAGTATAGTTTTTACCCAGTTTAATAATCTTAACATCCTGACAAAGACATTACCTTTCTCCTCTGGTCCTCCTCGTCCAGCAGCCTGGCCTGCAGCTGTCTCACCATGACCTGCCTCTTCCACTCAGCGATGGAATGACCCTTCTCATCATGGGTAGGCACCAGGTAGTCAATATCTGACAGGTTGGCCTCTTCAGTGGGCAGCACTACCATCTTATTCTACAGAAGACATGTGACAAGTTGACAACAGTCTCTCAGCTTCGGTTTTACCCAGGGATGGCTCGATACCGCTTTTTCATGTCATGTCAATATGGGACCAATACTGATCCTGAGTATCGGATCGAGTCATCCCGAGTTTGACCAATATCAGTTTCAACAAGACTGCTTGTTTGCTTACTGCCTGTCCAGTGAAGGCTCCTGAAATCCCTGACTGCTTCAGAGATTTGATGGATTTCAAGTTGCCGAAAAGTTTTCTTTCGGCCAGGAGGTTCGTGTCAGGCAACAGCACCTTGTCATCAGAGGGTTTAGTTCCAGCTCGCTTGCTCTGACTGAAACCTTTAATAACTGTTAAAAAAATAAATAATAAAAAAAAAAAATTGTCACTCTGTTAACTTAAATACACGATGCAAATGTGAAATAACAAGGACAGATATGCTTCACCTACCAGATGTTGCAATTTGGACATGTTCTATTCTGCGGACAGTGCTTTTCTGGGGTGGAGGAGGAGAGCCACAGGGTGCTGGAGGTGAGGGAGGCGCAGCAGGAAGCTGAGGGTATCTGGCCTGGGGAGGCTCCTCACTCTCTGGTTGCTAGTTAGAATAGTTAATAGTGAGTTTATTAGTATTGAAAAATAATGACTGTTTAGTTTCTTTACTTAAAACCTGGACCTGTTTAATTGAACACAACACTGATATACTCGCAGGAATTGAAGAAAGACACAAATATTTTTCATTAACCGCACTGACTAACTTTCTTTTTTGTTTGTTTTTATAGCCATCTATCTGCTGTGAAGTGGATGTTTCCTGTCACAATGGAAGACAAATTCGTAGCTAATAACAGTTTTCAGACCAATTCAATTTTTAACATGCACACCTGATGACCTCTCCTGACACAGCAGTGTCCCACGGCACAGAACATGCAAACTAAACACCAAAAGTTTTAAGATATAAGACAGAGATTTGATCGGGACATATTACTCTTTTCAATTCAATTGTAATTGTCACAATTGTAAGTGTTCACCTTTAAACAGTCCATTGGTATGTTGGTGCTGAGACCGTCACTGCATGTGTCACTCAGGCTGCCGTAGTAGTCCACCCTGCTCTGCTGCAACAACGATGCCGGCTTTGCCTTCTCTTCTTCCTCCAGAGAAGGGGCGACCTCGGTGGGCTTATCAGTCTGTGAGTACAAGGCATAAATACAACTATTTAAGTTTGAGCAATTGAGTTTCACTCACTTCAATTCACTTCATCAAGAAATGCAAACAGAGTTGACAAATACAATCTTTCGTTATTATGAGTAATACATTTGTAATTAAAATCCAAATCCAAACCAACAATTAAACCAAAAACAATTGTAAATGGAACATTTATTAAGAAGTTATTTTTCTTTTATTTGAATTGAAAACTTTTGCAGCTTCTTGTCCAGAATCTTCCAACGGAGCCAAAAAGACTCAAAGGAAGCCGCCTGACTAAGAAGATCTTTTTATTGTAAATCAATATCGTCCCAGAGAGTTACGGCATTCAACAAGTTCAACAACTCTGCGTCAGGGACGAAATGTTGGCGTTGATGCTTGCGACAGTAACAGTCAAAATTAATACCCAATTATTGCAATCTAATATCATGTTACCTGTGGTGGAAGGGCTGTCTTGTGAAAGTTTAAATATCTTGGCCATGTCCTAGGTTAATTTTATACAGAAGCGCTGCTAGTAAATAGGATAATTCACAAGAAAAACACCGTTTCGCAAATGAGCAAACCTCATAGAAACACATTGCACATTTAAAATGGCAAAATCACGGTGACTTTAGTACACTAAATATGCTCAACTGTCTTTGTTTGGACACAAGAACATTTATATAAATATATTATAATATATTCTTTATACAAAAAATATTATAAAATATTATATTAAAATAACTTAATTTCCTTCATTTATAAACTGTTATACTGTATAAAATAAATATAAATATAACACTTTTGTGCATTTAAAGACCCAATGCATTCTCCCACATTTACACCTTGAGGACATGCCTTGTAAGGAATCCTCATTTATTGGCGGTGTCTCACGCCGTGCTAAATGGATGTAGGCTGTATGGAAACAGTTACATCCCCTTTAATGAACCACCGTCACCTTAATGCACTCCATGCAGAAAGCATATCAAATGTAACTCTCGGAGGACACTATTAGGAACCAAGACATCAAAGGCCGACTAATATGCTGCTCAGTGTGCTTTGTGTCCATGAGGTGGTCCTGACTTCTTTTTTTTTTTCTCTTTCCTCCCGCTTTGATGTCAAACAGCACCAAATATGCTGTGACACTGCTCAGGCAGAGGCATAAACTTTCCCAAAGTTGTGCAATGCATAAAGAGATAAACAAGGCTGCGTGATTCTTCTGTGACCCTTCGTGTTCAGTGTCCTTTGAGCTGCGCTGAACCAACCTTGAATATGGCTGTGTGTGTGTGTGTGTGTGTGT